CGATTGATCATATGTAAAGTAGGGATAATAAGAGTGCCTTCCTCGTTAAGATTCTTGTGAGGATTAAATCATGTGGAAAATTTAACTCACAATCTAGTACATGAAAAATGAAACTTTAAAACTATAAATGATTATGAAGAGTGACATCTTATTTTTTTAAGTTCATCTACAGGCAAATAAAAAGCACTGCATACAGTGTTTACTTCTAGGAGGCAGGATCATGAGTGATTCTTTTACCTTCTTTGTCTTTTTCTAAATTTCAAAATAGTCTACAATGAATAACATTACTTTGTAAACAGATGTAAAATTGACCAATTCGTTAAATTTCTAAAACTGATAATTTACACATGAAATTAAGAGTTAAATGTGACAACATAAAATTTATTCTTTTCCACCTTGGCTGGTATAGCCCTGTGGGTTGAGCACCAGCCTGAGAACCAGAAGGTCACTGGTTCAGTTCCCAGTCAGTGCACATACCCGGGTTATGCGAGAGGCAACCCATCTACGTATCTATTACACATTGATGTTTCTCTCCCTCCTTCTCTCTTCTCTAAAATAAATAAATAAACAAAATCTTTAAAATATATTTTCCTTTTCTTCTAAAGGATCATCTCATAATTTTAGAGACAAGTGGGATATTAGGAGGTCACCTAGTTCAGCCTGAATTTATAGGAAAAAATTCATTTACTTACTCACGAATATGTCATGAGTGACTCCTACATGCTCAACACGGTTTTAGGCTGTGAGCCTAAGCAATACCAACACGGAGGCAGGCGCCCGGGAGCACACACATGACGGACGGTAGGCCTGCTGTCCATTCCCCAGCAGCCGTGCCTCCCGGTGTGCTGAAAATTCAGGCCTTTTTGGGTTTAGGCCACCCTGTAGTTCTATAATCAAACATTAAAATTTCTAATGTAAAATGCATCAAAGTTCATACCAAATGGAATGAATATAGATTAAAAACAGCCTTGTATCAAATCAGATCCGTTTTCACCGCCAAATGAGTTCAAGCCCTGAGAAGTACGGCCAATAAATGAAGTATGATAAACTTCAGGCTTTCAGAATTTTTTAGATTTCAAAACGTGGCTAATGGATCGTGGCCTCTATGTAATATGTCAGGTGGATAAGTGGTATAGAGAAAAATAGGAGCATGGCAGATAGGGAGTGTGTGAGTGTGTGCAGGTGGGCATACGTCCGTGGACATGTGGTCAGGGCGGGCCGCTGTGCAGAGATCCAAGGGAGAGCAGTTTGAAGATAACTGGGTGCAGAGAGTATCCCCAGCAGGGAGAAGAGCAGCTGCAAAGGCCGAGGTGATAATGTCTGGTATGTTCAAGAGGGGATGATCAAAAGGGATTGGCAGGAAATGAGGTCAGAGTGGAGAGGGGGTAAAGTGGGGATTCATCTAGAGGCCTGAGGGCCTTTGTATGGCCTTTGGAATTTGCTGAGTGTCAGGGACCCTGAGGGGTTGTGGGGAGAGGAGTGCTATGATGCAACTACTTTAAAACTATTACTTTAAATCTGTTGAGAAGAGGCTGGAGGGGACCAGGATGCAGGAAGGTGAGTTGAGAGTGGTCACTGCAAAAATCTAAGTGAGAAATGATGGCAGCTTACACTGACGCAGTAATAGTGGTTGCGGAAAGAAGCAGCAGGTTCTGGATATATACCGAAGGCAGTGCAGGGAGGATTTGTTGATGTACTGGTTGTAAGGTATTAGAGCAAGAAAAAAAAAATCAAAGATCATACAAAAGTTTTCGATCTAATCAATTAAGAAAAGACCTCTCACTTGCTGAGATGAAGAGGAAGAAATTGGCAGGGCGGACAGTAAAGATACAGGGTTTGAATTTTGACATTTTAAGTCTGAGATACCAGTTCTAGAACTGTGCTATTTACTAAAATAGGTATTAGTTACATTTACTTTTAATTAAAAATTTATGTTCTCAGTTATACTAGCTAATCTTAGGTACTCAATGGCTGCATGTGGCTCGTGGCTACCATCCTAGACAGCACAGGAAACATTTCTATCCTTGCAGAAACTCCTACTGGACAGCACTGTCCTAGAGACTGTTTTATTGAGCACCTACTTTAGGCAAAGCAAGGGTGCAAGCAAGGTAAACAAGGAGGACCCCTTACTTTGGAGGGACCACCAGAGTACAGAAAGAAGTGTTATACCAAAACTAGAGTTCAGTTTAAAATGTGTTTGGAAACTGATTTTGTTGGGGCAAACTATATGTAACATGGCTTCTTAGGAAGAAGAGTCCGCTCCACCCTTGGGCCCTCTCCTCAATCAATTTGTTTCTAATATATGCTAGGCCTGGCCTCAGTTGAAGGAGATATGGGAACAAGATCACAGGAAGTGAGAACAGAGAAAAATTCTGACTCATTAGCACTTTAAATGGCAGTAGGCACCCACGCAGTGCGAAGCACTTTCCCTCAGACAGCCTTTCCCTCAGTCTCCTTGATTTCTCTTTCCTCTCTGACCTTTGTTAGCGGTACTTTAAGTTCTACGCTACTTGAGGGCAGAAATGCATTCTTTTCATATTTTTGGTCTGGCTTATTGTAAAAGCAAATGAATTTTCTCGACTTCAACTTGGGACAGATGGTCTGCCAAAGGCTTTCTGCTTCATATGCTAATTTGAGAAGCAGTTTGAACTCTGAAATAATGACATTTCTTGGATAGTTTACTACGGAAGAAACAACATACAATATCTGACATTGGGAATGTTTCAGAAAGCCTAAGGTATATAAGGACCAAACACATGCAGTATATATACTCTTGCTGGGCAGTTTAACCAATTCATGCCAATTAAGTGTTTCAATCATGATTTCACTTTTAGTTATAATCTCTTATAATTTCAGAATGTGTTCTGTTTCTACTACTTAAATATAACCTGTCAGGGTTGTCAAAGACCAGAGGAAACGGTATTCTTTCTATACTACTAGACACATGAAACATCATTTATCAAGTTATGTGTAGCTCTAATTTGAATGGATTGCTTAGCAGCACTGAGTTAGAAAACGTTAGCTGTCATATTTGCAGACTGCCAACTTGTGTACATATTTTTATATCTTCATTGTTTCCTGTAGTAATTTGAGTTACCCAGAAAAACAAAATAATCCCTAATCTGGAATAGAAACATGCAGACAGTCCATACTCTGCTAATAGTATAACTAAACTTTAGTGTCTTAAATCATAGTTTGTTACAACAGCAATTTCCCCTAATTAACAAACCCTCTAATATTTCTTATAGCAGAAATTAGGTCAAATACTATAAAATTTATTTAGTGTTTAGACAGAATACCAATAGCTCTCGCTATAAGACAGATGAAGATTTAAGTACGTATCAGAAGCACCCTGAATTTGATGCTGAGGAAATCTCACAGCACAATGGAAGCAAGGATCAACAGCGCTTGGCCGGCTGCCGGTTGAGTCATCTCTTCAATGAATTCTGAATTCAATGAAGTATTTATGATACAGAAAGACAGTGTGGGGAAATACCATAAAACATCCATATTTAAGTTGTCAACTTTTCAAAACAGGTCTGGAATGAGTTATTGAGGAAGCAAAAATGGGGTGTAAATTCAGTTTAAAACTTCTTTTTAGCTCATTCACAAACAAGCATGCGCTTCAGTCCCAAAGGACAAACACACCTGGTACATATGGGAATTTTCTCTTTGCAATTCTGTGTAGAAAATGTGGTCATCATCTGGACAGATGCAGCTTGCTAGCTTCCTCAACTACCCTGACTCTCAAATACAACAGAGTTAGGTTTGACACTTGCTAATCCTAGTTTCTGTTAAGCAGGAGACACACACACACACACACACACACACACACACACACACACACAGCTGAATATTTAATGCAAATAAATTATGTGAAACTTAAAAGAAACAATTACTAAAATAAATTGTGCAAAGAATATTAAATAAAATTAAATGCCTCAACTCTTCCCTCTTTAATAATTAAATTTAAGTCCCTAATATAATATTAGTCCCAATGGCATTTTGTTAGACGTGAAAGCCAGGATTCTCAGCACTGGTTGATATATGAGTGTGCTACATAGCATTTAAGGCGAAATGAAAAGAAAGCCTCTATCTTTGTACAGGGCATTGCCATCTTCTAACAATGCATCCGCCACAATGCAGGTGGCACAACTGCCTCTATGGAATGCTAAGGTTACTTGTTTCAATCCCAAGCTAATCTGACATGCTTCCAATATAAACGAGCATGACACAAAATAAACTTCTGATAAGGAGCTCAAAGACAAAGAGGCACCAGGCACCTAGCCTGGAGCTGAACACTCGGTTTCCTCTTACCACATGTTTGCTAAATAATGGGTTTAAGATGCAAACATAAACTTTAACCCACATTACTGGCATTACTGATGCAGGTGTTTATGACGTTATTGTGGCCCAAAAGGATTTCAGGCAACTAAAAGAACACACATAAAATGTGATAAAGATAAACTGCGAGTAAATAAGAAGAAAAGTTGCAACAGAGTAACTGAGTAAGCTGAAGCCAATAAGCATATACTTGACAACTTCGCTACATAATAATTAGATTTAAAGAAAGATTACATTATCTTTCTACTGAAGAATGATGTTATTTAACCTGCTGTATTTTATTTTCTAAAAGTATACATAATAAACAGTAAATAGGATTTTTTCCTAATCAGGGGTCTGGGACCCAGGACTCTAGGGGTTGACATCTTTAGTTCCAGAAATGATTGTTTAGGATAAACAGCAGATGAGAAGACAGTACAGACTCGGGACTCAAGATTTGTAAAACACGAAGGGAACCAGAGAACAAGGGTCTTCACGGATCTACCTCAGTGCAGGGAACAGTAATAAGTAAAAGTGTGCTTGTGAGCTGTATTAGGGAACCAAATGAACAAAACCCACTATAAATCTATATTTAAAACAAACGAACGAACAAACAAACAAACAAACAATAGGACCCACAAAGCACTTTATCTCAGCCACCCAGGGAATTCACTTACCTATCGCTTGAGCTAAGGCTATGACAACCTCCTGGCAAGTCGTGACTTCGGTGACCCCGCAGACGATCCTCTGCACGCCATCCACCCATACTTTAAGTTCCATGGTGCACCAGCCAGTCAGTCACCCAAGGGCCCTGAGACTGGTCATCAAAGGTGTCAGGTCATGTCTCTGGCTATGGAAACATGGAGAAGGCAGTCTGTGTAGTCAGCTAAAAAGAGGAAAAAAACATTTTTAAGAGAATGAATCTAGGTCTTTCTTCTAGTAAGTAAATATTACGCAAAACAAATTTTAATATGATAATCCTATTGCCATTAATGACCATGTGCTTTCTTACTTTACAGAACCAAATTCAGCAGCACAAACTAAGTATAGCCACCTATCATGACACTGTTTCACATTACTACTATTTTTATAATTATAATTTTAATCAGAAAGTTACTCTCTATTGGGTAAATAAACAAATCTATATACACTCAATTAAGCCGTACTGTTAACATATAAGCTGTTTCGTTTTTTAAAAAGTTATTTCATTAGAACCATTTTTCTGCGGTTAAAGAGAAATAAAAAGAGTTTTGGTCATTTTAGGAATGAGAAGCAACTGAACCAGTTTCTGCAGCCTCAGCAGCATTTGGAGACCTGTCTGCCTAACTGCACTGCATTCCTTGGTTCCGCGCGTCCCTCGCTGCTTCCCCAAGTGACTGAGAGTGTCGCCCTCACCGCTGAAATCCCAGCACCCCGTGCAGCGGAAGGCTCAGTCCACAGAAAACATCCGTTGAAGGAAATGAATTCCTTTGATGGCCGACTACTTCCCCATATATGTCCTTTTCATATTTATTTAATTGGGGTTTGTTACTTTTCTTAAATTTTAAGTTAATCTAATAATATAAAACTTAAACTTCTGCTATACTTGCTGTGTTTCCCCATTGTTTTTTTTTTGTTTAGCTGTACTGTATGTCAAGCAGAAATTTTTATATTCTCCTATAGTCAAACCAAATGCCTTGATTTCTTCTCTTAATTTGAATGTTATTATTAGCCTTCTACAAATCAATTACACACAATTCTTTTTCCTGTGGGTTTTGAAAGTCTCAGTTCTTCCCGTATTAAATCTTTAATCAACTATGATTTTTGTCCATTTTCCTATGATGGTCCTATTTCTTTGTTGTTTTTTTCAAATGTAATAAACAATAATTTAATTATAGAGAACAGGAGAAAGATTAAAGACCTATTCAAAGGCTTATTTAAAAAAAACACTAAAACTTTTTCTTGTAAAGTAGTATTTACTATAAACAGTAACTTAGTCCTTGTACATTCTCTTAAAAGACCTAAGGCAGTTCAAGGCCACCTGGTCATCTGGGAGGATGAGTCAGAAATACATGTGAACTGAAGGAGAATAGACCTAATAATACTCCTACTTCCTCCAGAGAAGTTACAAAAATAGTGTTTGCCACCCTGGCAACCAGGGAAAGCACTGGCTGGACGCTAGCTGCCCGGCGCGCTGGTAGCTCGCTCTGCCGCGCTGCACCGAGAAAGGGCCACTTGCCTGACGGGCTAATCCCTGTACTGCGTTCCTCAGCTGAAGTCCTGTGAGGAATTAATTTTTTCTGGGGAGAAAGGGTTCCAAAACTGAAGAGTGATGGGAAATCCAGCAAATGAAGTTAAACAGATTCCTTTACATGCAGATTTCTTTGAACCTTTCTTTAATAGGCTGGTGTGCACTCTACACTGCAAGAAAGAGGTTAATATGCTATTGTTCCCAATCCATTTAGAGAACGTTTAAAGAAAGGGAACAGAAGAGTTATGACTTAAAACAAAATTTGTTTCCTTCTCTGCTAGGCACTCAACTAAAATTAGAATATGTAGTATTCTTTCTTGGAATAAAATGAAAAATTAAAAAATGGCCAAACAACATATATTGTGTTAATATATTAAAATTAAATTATTTAGTTAAAGTAGCTGAATTTAAGAAAACTCAGCTGCATTAACATTTATTTAATACATAGTTCCTCATATGTTATTAACAAAACTTAAACTTGGGGAACCTAAGAAGGAAGACAGAAGATTTCATTAAAAGTCTCCTCTCTCCACAAAGAGACCTGTCTTTTCAAAGAAACTTATGAGGCTTATTTTTAATTTTTATAAAGGTTTTAGTACACCACCACCTATTTTCCTATCTAAATGATCAGCTTCACCTTGCATTTTACATCACTAAGTGAATATAAATGAACATAAAACACATGTACATCTGTTAAATATTATATAGTAATGTGGTAAAACACAGGGCATAAATAGTACTGCTTAGTTAGTATAAATGTGGAGGGTATTTATCCCCCTGCCCAGAGGGTTCCTACCACAGGTCACCACGGAGAAGACCAGCGGCTGCGTGTGTACCACCACTGATACCTTTCAAAACTGAGTCCTTAAGGAGGGCAGGAAATGCCTCAGTAGATCAGATCAACGAACCACATGGTGCAAAATTTTATTTCTAGGAGGGCCACTGTTTTTAATATATGGCTTGTCCGCTTTGGGGTTGTACTGGCAGTCCCCTCTAGCTCCCCTGAACATCAGGGTGTTGTTCACGAGACTCATTTGAAGAATCTGTCTCTCTTCCCAGTGAGGCCCCTCGATCACCTTCTAGGAGCTGCCGCCCTTTCCTTCCTTCATACCCTCCAGAACCCCACTCCCCAAGTTCTACTCCCAGCCCCAGAACTAGGCTAGAGGGAAAAACAAAAGTCCTACACTGTAGGTGCGTGTGGTTGGACTGGTCATCATTGGAACTAGACTCAGGAGGCAAAAAAGGCTTTGGAATGTCGGCTGGCATTTGGAATAATTCTTTCCATGGAAACAGTAATGCAGGTAGAAGTAAGGTTCTACTGTAAGGGTACGAATATAGGTGAGCTAGTGTTTTCATCATGTGGTTTCTATATTCAAACCACTATTATTTTAATAATTTTGATCATGAAGAACTAGCTTTGTTAAGGAACATGCTACTGGTGAACAAGTGTTCTTTAGCTAAGAACCATTTATTATCTTACAAGCCTACTGGAATTAAGCATCTGCATTTGTGGAAACATATTCCCCCAAGACCAGTGCTTTAATAGAGCAATTACAGTCAAGCCTCATCACCCGTGTGTTCCTTATTTGTGAATTCACTCACTCACTAAGATTTATTTGTGACCCCCAAACCAACACCTGTGGCACATTCACAGTCATTTATACACATGTATGTGTATTTCACAGCAGTGACAAATTTGAGCTGCCCGGCCCTCCTGCTCTTCCCAGCTGAGGCTAGACAAACTCAACGCTCTGCCTTCTTGTTTCTGCTTTCATGCTGTCCACAAGAGTCCTTGCCTCAGTCTATTTAGTGCTGTTTTTGCATTTTTGTGGTTTTTGTTGGTTATTCTACTGGTTAAAATGGCCCCCAAGCACTGGGCTGAAGTGCTGCCTAGTTAGTGTTCCCAAGTGCAAGGAAACTGCGATGTGCCTTATGGAGAAAATATTGTGCTACTTAACTTTTGTTCAGGCTCTAGTTATAGTGCTGTTGGCTGTCAGTTCAATGTTAATGAATCAATAATATGTATTAAATAAGGTATCTTAAAACAGAAAAAACATATAAAACAAGGTGACCTAATTATCAGCTGACAAAACTGTTGTGACCAAAGGCTCTCACAAAAAACAAGAATTGGTTGCCTATTTTTACACAGTGTAACTTTTCTTTGATGGCAAATATCAAGCCAATGAGTAATTCCTTGGACACTAGATACAAGTATATAAGAAGCTCATTGCCAATTGTAACATTCCATTCACTGCTAGTTTTTTAAAAATTGATTTTTTTAAAGATTGTATTTATTTATTTTTAGAGGGGAAGGGAGGGAGAAAGGGACAGAAACATCAATGTGTGGATGCCTCTTGCACACACCCTCCTGGAGACCTGGCCTGCAACCCAGGCATGTGCCCTGACTGGGAATCGAACCAGCCACCCCTTGCTTCGCAGGCCGGTGCTCAAAATTTTTACACCAGCCAGGGGTAAAAATTGATTTTGAAAGACAGAAGATAAGAGAAGAGAAACATCAATTTGTTGTTCCAATTATTTATGCATTTATTGGTTGCTTCTTGTATGTGCCCTAACAGGTGATCGAACCTGCAACCTTGGCATGTCCGGTCGATGCTTTCACCAGCTGAGCTACCCAGCCAGGGCCCCTTCACTGCTGGTTTTGCTCAAAATCTAGGTTATTGCAAAGCTAGTATACAGATAAACTGGGTTATAATAAAATCTTCACCTAGTATCTACAATTCTTTAATTAAATCAAATACTGATGCTAGCAAGCCACTAGTGGTATTTTTTTGCATAATAAAGAGACTCAGCACAATGAACACAATATATTCTGAATAGTAGTTATTAGAATTATTAATAATCAGATACAAAATTCTTTGTATAGAAAGCCGGTAAAAAAAATATATAAAAACACTAAAGTGAGTTTAGGTTATCTCATCCTAAAACTAGTCTGATGTGTGAATTAAATAATGTTGAACAATTGTTACCATCTAAAAGATATTGACTTTTTAATGTTCAAATGGTTCCTGAGATGAGGAAAAAATGTCTGTGTGCACCTGTTGCCTGTGGAGAGGAGAAAGGAACTGAAGATCAAAGAACAGCCTGGAGAACATGGTGGGAGGAAGCACAGCCTGGGAGGAGAGGGAGTGAGTGAGCACATGGTAGGGAGGGGGGAGGGGGTAAAGAAAACAGCTTTCCGGGAAACTGCCTCAGACGCCAGCTATGGGTTACCTACCCCTGAACACTCTTCTGGGTCTGTATTTTGGAAATCTGGTTAAACATAAGTTGTTTTTAGCAAACCCATTATTTTGCTATAATGCAGTTCTGCAAATGGTGTCACAGAAAGCAGGTTGTTATAAAAATGTACACAATGTTAAAAGTGGGTGCTAAGGAAAACGATCTCAGTAACATAAATAAGTGCCCCCCAAAATAAAGTTTTGACAACAGAAGTCCTATGAGATGCACCACAGGGAGATAAGGTTCTAAGCCCAACAATTTGGGAAACATTTCATAACACCGTCTCTGAGAGACAGTGCAGAGCAAGATAAAGCTTCTGATACCCTGTAGTAGAGAAACTGGTTGGACTTGGTTAAACTTACAGTGATTAGCATGGGGGTGGGGTGTGAAAAAGGGGCACAATGCCTATGAAATATCCCGCTGAACTGTAGGATACAAATTACCAATGTTGGGAAAATATGCCTATACAGTGCACCTCAATCCTCATTAATTTGTTCCTGAACTCATGACGAGGGCTGAAACCTGCGGGTACCAAATGATGAAGCATTTTCTCTTGCAGGGTGGCGTCGTGACTCGTACAAGTTCTAGCAAGTGTGACAAGCCCAAGCAAGTGCCAAGTGCTGAGACATTTTTTTCTTGTCAAAATGAGATGAGTACAGGGTTTGACGAGTTCTGAAGCCAATGAGTTCTGATGTACGACTGTATATAAAATGAGCTTTCTGCCAGCTTTTAATGTATTCTGAAGCCTCTAGAAGTGGCAATGGATACACTGTTTAAAATTTTAGTAGGAACAATATATGACAAACGAGAAAACTTAATAGAACCCAAACTTTTCTCTAAGTGAAGTTTTTAGGGCCATGACTGAGCCATGTCTTTTAAAGATGGGTTTCATATTTTTCTTTTTTATAGATTCATCTAAATAATCGGATTTGCTCTTTCATAGTACATTTTTAAAAGGTCAATGCCAAGCAATCTCTGCATATTAATTATTAAATCCAATAAACCCATGCTTTTCCCTCCATTATCCAGCATCCTCAGGTCACAGCATTCAAACTCACGCAACGATTTACCATTTCCCCAACGTTACATACTCAAGCGGCCATTCTGCATCATGGCAAGGGGCAGCCTGTGCACGTCTACGTGCTAAGCGCAGCGTATTGTGTCTCATTTATTCCCCACAACACAATAAATGAGACACAATACACAAGCAAGTGAGGTCATTAGCCTCATTTTAAAGATGAGAAAGGCAACAGAGCTTATATAACTCTCCCAAGGGCACAAACCTAGTAATTTAGGGACATATATTCAAAATTGGTATGAATAAAGAAATTAGAGAATAAATAAGGCAGGCTTCTCCAAAAGGATTCAGTGTACTTAGATAAATGTTTTTAAAATGTCCTAAGTTACACTAAGAAATCTCATTTATCACCTGCTGGAAATTTATTTCTATCAATAAACAATGATCAGACAATATGCGCACACTTTCCATTCCAGGAGAAAGAAAGAGCTAAACCAACTAAATCATGGTAAGAAGCTACAGTTTCGATTCAGGGGGCCTGTGCTACCCAAATGCACATGCCAGCATAATGGGTGTCTGATGGTCAGCCTCATTTCCCAGCACTGACAAAATGTTTTTCTAGTTTATATATATATATATATATATATATACACACACACACACATATATATATATATATATATATATATATATATATATATATATATATATAACAGTTAACTTTGCCTCTGTCACATAGTAAGAGTTCCTAACTGTTCTTTATTTACTATTCTTATTGGCTAGAATCAGTAAAAAACAAGGACATGTGTTCTTTTGAAGTGTTGGTTTACAATGAAGGTGTCAAAGTATACCTGCTTACGGAGAAATATTACAAATCTATTTGTACCTAAATGTACCTTTCAAGTATCACCAGGGTTTCAGTGACTTTCTTTCAGTAGAAGCACATTATAATATGGTTTGCTCGCTGCAAATGCTTGTGAGAAAGAGCACGAAGCAGCACGTGTAGCAGAATGCACGATTTAACTGGTGCCGGAGTTCAGGGCTTTTCACGCTGAGCCTTTGAGAGCGTGGCCTCTTATCCCAGACCTGGGGGCTTTACCAGGAGATCAACCATCACAGAACTTGGCGCTACACACAAGCCTTCAACTAGTTCTGAAGGGCCAAATGTAGGCTGGGGCCCTAACAGAAGACATAATTGGAAAGTAAGTGGCTTTTTATAGTACTATAGCAAGAAATGGAACCCAGTGGTCTACTATTTTTATATTTCTTAAGAGATTTTTGTGTCAGTAAAATTAAGTTGCAAGGTCCCCTACTGTTCCACCTACTATAAACATTTAAGAAAATTAGCAAGAACAGACCATGTATAGGTTTTTCATGCTAATGTTCTTTCATTAGTGGTAATCTCCATTTTATGGTCTGTTTTAACTAAATTTTTTACAGGAACAAGTTCCTCAATAACTTCTATATTGGACACTTAATTTATTTCAATATATGTAAAGCACAGTCATTTAATTTCAGATTTCAGAATAATCTAAATTAATAATACAGTATTCCAAAGACTGGCTCTGCTAGCATCTATCCATGACCTCAGCCTTCTGTGTTCAGCGAAATGACTGTATTAGTTGATGGCCAGTAGGTGGCTGGCTCTGAGAGGCAAGACAACTTACCTGTTTTGTTTCAGCAAACTCTTGGAAACGAGCGGACTTTACATGCCTGAAGAAAGTACCGTCACGTGCTCATCTCCCCTCTTTGACATCTGTAGGTGTCAGGAATCTGCAGCTTCCTTAGAACCAAGTAGAACAAAATGTATTTTTTGGTGGTGGTGGCAGGCTTGTGTCTTGGGAAGAAGGCTATGGCAAGGCTGGAACGGTAAAAAGGAAGGAAAAAAGAGAAGAGGCATGTGTCAAAGAGAGCGGCACTGTGTGGAGAATGCTGGCATTCCAGTGCAAGGTGACCCAGGGCTACTGCCACTGGAGAGATGGCGGCCATCGGGCATTGGCTTGGGCTTATCCTCATGCAACAAGGCCATTGGGGGCCTCGACCTACATGGAATTGTGTTTCTGTGTGTTGGTCTTGATTCCTTTCCGTCATTTTTGTGACAGTCCTTCACACCCACTGCCCATGGCTCTCTGACCTCTCCGTGCCGCCTTCTCCAGGCACTCTTTCCAAGGTACGATGCGGCAGGCTTAAGTTCTCAAGCAAATCACCTGCTTTCAGTGTTCTGTCAGCTAGACACCAAAGAAGTCAATCTAGTAGGCATATTCTTGTTTCCATGAGGTGTTTGAATGATTTTACAAATGGTAACTGTTCATGTGGTATTTTTATGCAATCTTTTCTATACCCATCTATAGCTCTATATGGCATGCATTATTATGAGACAAAAGAGGAAATGATGTATAGAAAAATCAGCAATTCATCCAAAGTCACTCAGCCAACAAGAGGCAGATCCAAATCTGATAATGCTCATAACCACTAAAAAGCTACTTATCTTTACAAGATAAAGTTATTGGTAAAGTCTGCAAGGACATTTGGAATCAGCAATCTTGGCTCAGGAGAGAAAGTAATCAAGCAGATATGACCACGGGAGCTATAAATTCCAATTCTATGAAGCTAAATAATGTATTTGGCCTAATTGTTGCCACAGAACTGAGAAGAAGCAAAGAGCAGATGTTCAATAATCGAATCAGACTTAACTAGGCATACATGGCCCCGGAGGTTCCTGATGGAAACGAAAGCTCCCAATTTCCCTTGTCTCAAAAAGCAGGGACAGAGCTGGGCCCTGAGTCCCGCTGTTACCAGACCGCCAGCGCCTACGTCCTTTCTACTGCAGAAGCTGTCCACAAGGCAGGCTCATTTCCTCTCCAAACCTGACATCTGTGGGCTACTTCGTTAGTGATTTTTTAAATCCATTTGAGTGATAGCAAATTATGTTCAATACCTTATAGACACCATTCAGGTATAATGAATTTCTTTCCCGATTTTAATATTTATGGCAGTCTGCAATGAAACCCACTATTTTACTTCATAGAGAATAAACAGGAAAGTATTTTTCATTCACAAAGTCAAGATCACCATGGACTTCTCATAGTATCATTAATATCAAGCCCATCAATTCTGACACACGACTTTTCTAATTACGTGTGTGAACTTTCAACAAAACACTGTTTTGACTTACAGCTACAGTAGTGACTTCAAATAGCCAAACTTTATATATCAAAACATGTTAATTTGCAGGTAATACACTTCTAAGCTATATTTACATGTAAACATTTAAAGCCAAAATATATAAAATAAAAATTTTAGCTCCTTGGGTTAAAGTAGTTACTAGATTATAAAATTTCTACTAACTTTAATTTTAAGATTTAATCAACACTATTTAAATTTTTTTTTAAAACTTCGTTACTATACTTATTCAGCGGATAAAGTACGAAATGCTTTAACAGTCTCAAAGTCAGAAATTAGATTAGGCAAAAGTAAAGATGCATCATCCATAATCCCCAAGAATCTTTGTTAAACTGTAACTATTTTAATTCATAGAAAATTTAAAAAGTGTCCATTCAAACAACTTGAAAGGTAGTTTCCCCTTAATCTTTAAGACTCAAGAATAATTTCTTATTCCACTTAGTTCCTGAAGGAAATCTAGTTTAAGTAATTAAATCCCTAGGTGTGATACAAAAATAGGTGCACCTTTTGGTGATATTTTAAAGTAAGGTATTTTCCATGTAATAAAACTTTAATAGATGTTAATTATTCAGTGTAATAAAACAAATAATGCTATTGTTCCAAATTCTCACACTTTATTCCTCACACTATCCTTACTGGTCACCCTCTTTAGATACCATGTACACTCTACATTTAGTTGGGGACATTGTGGGCTTCAATTAATTTAGGAGGTGTTGTGCTATGCGGTTCCCATCCAGTATTATTGAAGAAGATAGATGCTAAGTTTGAGATGTACACTGAAAAATTTCAGAGTAAAAGGCTTGATATTTATTTTAAATATCATCAGTGATGTTGACTAAATTGATACTCTACTCGACAATATCCTATTTATAGAACTGGACTTAGGCCTATTCTCTGCCCTTCACGGAAACCGCAGTGCCAGGTGAAGACGGCAATGGCTTGTCAATCAGCAGTCAGATTGAATGAGGAAAGCTATACACCTAACGTAGGGCACATGAATAAATATAAAAGGTCAACTGTAGGGTATAGCTACTGAAGCAATTGACTGTTTAAAAATCCCATTATATTTCCCAAGTCAAACTGCTTGCCTAGTGGGGTGGGGACCCTATTTTTATGTTTAAATAAATTTATTTGCATTTTATTAGTACATCTGATGTCCACTACGTGTTTATACTTTACCAAGTCCTACATTTTCAGAGTAGAGGGCAAAGCTCAAGCATTGATAATCCAATGCTAATCCCGGCAAAGGTCACTTGCGGGAAATCAACCCATGGAATGAAATGGGTCAAAAAACATAGCCAAGAATTACTCCAGAGGTCACGGAAGCCTGCCTCTTGCTCCCTGAGAAGGAAAGCAGCAGCCAGGCAATAAGTCACTATTTAGATAGAAGAGCGCTGGGGATGACACTGGAATAGTGTACGTGTCTAGGGCGTAAGAGAACTGGATTTATAAAGAAATGTTTTCACTGAAGCATAACATATTACAAAAAAGCTCAGAAATTCTAAGTGTGATGAAGTTTTACAAAGCAAACACTTCTGTCTAATGATATCCAAGATTAAGAAGAATCTATCCTGGTCCCAATCCTTTCCTTGAAAGGCAACCTTCATTCTGACCTCTATCATCATGGACTAGTTGTGCCTGTTTCTGAATTTTGTATAAATGGACCACAGCACACGAAGTGCTGTCTGGTTTCTTTGGTGTAGCTGTACTTCTGCTGAGCTTCGCTGCTGTTGCTGTGCACAGCAGCAGTTCCTCCTTTCTCACTGCTGCAGAGCTCTCCACTGTACAAATACACTGCAATTTACTCACCTCTCTGCTACTGATGGGCATTTGGGTTGTTCTCATTTTGGGGCTATTACAAATAATCCTGCTCTGAACACTTGCAGCTAAGAATGTGGTTACTGCATTCTGCGTTTGCCTGCTAACTGATGCATTCCCCTGCCTTCCCATCCTGCCTGCCCCCTGCGTATCCATTTTACTTGTTTTTGCAGAGAAAAGTCTTTCTTAAACACAGGCTTTACTCCACACCTGCTCGGAATCCTTGAATGGCTCCCACTGCCTCCAGGATAAAACCCAAACTCCTTACAGGTCGCTGAGGTGTGTATGGCCTCTTGATCACCTTCCAGCTCTCCCGGGTGCCCTCACACTCACGCCGAGGCATTTCAGGCAGTTTAATGCATCATTCCCTCAGGCACCTCTGCTCTCCCTCCACCAAAACAGTGCTTCTGATTCTGGTACGTCCTTCAAGAGCACTTCAGACCCCTTCCAGGCCCTTTCCCAATCTTTTGGCCCCTCTCCCCTGTGCTTCCAAAGCTCTGTGCTTCTGTTTTATCGTGGTAGCTCTCAATGTACTTACCAGCGGAACTCCTCTGATTCCCATACTACTACTTGGACCCCTCCCTCAGCACAATGACTGACACATGTCACACTGTGTGTTTGCTGAATAACACAGGTGCTAACGGCACAGGAAAGAAACTGACAGTTTACATTTAACAGGGGAAAAGCACAGAACTAATGCAAAAGGGTCAGTGTGAACCCAGAGGCGACAAAATTGGCATCCAAGTACTTTAAGTCCAGTAAAGCCCTGCAGTATTGACTGAAATTCCTGGAATAAAAGTTAATCTTACCATTAGAGATGCTACTGTAAATATTATACCACATTGCAAAATTCTTCAATATATCCCAAGGCAATGCCTAAAGAAGGAATACTATTGTTTTAATCTACAATTTGTGATTTCCATGTGATCATAAATAAAATATTAAATTGAAATATTTTTATGGATATTAGTTATTAAACACTCAGGGAAAGGAAATATGCAAGTAAATTGTACTTACAAAAAAGTTGATAGGACTTCTGGTCAAGATGGAGGCCTAGGTAAACACGGCTCGCCTCCTTGCACAATCATAGCAAAAAATGACAACTAAATTACAAACAACTATCGCCCAGAACTGACAGCAAATCAAGTTGTATGGAAGTCCGACAACCAAGGAATTTAAGAAGTCACATCCATCCAGATGGATAGGAGTGGGGGCGATGCAGAGATGCAGAATGGGCGGTCCCACACCTACAAGTGGTGGATAAAAACTGGGAGGGCTACCTCAGGAGCGAGGGATCCCAGCCCCACACCAAAGCACCCAGCCCAGGGTCCAAGGCCAGGAAGGTGAGTCCCCGTAACTGCTGGATGTAAAATCTTGGGCGCTGGGGGAGGAGTGGAGTGGCAGGATAAACTGAGATTCTCAGGCATCTCCTCTTAAAGGACCCAAAATGGACTCAGGGTGTACACAGGCTCACTGCCTCTGGGCTCCAGCGCTGAGGCAGCAGTTGGAAGGGCACCAGTGACACACGGGGAGAAGTTAAAGTGTCTGGCTTCACAGAAAGTGCCAGGGAACAGCTTCCTCCTGTACAAAACCCCAGAGGCCAGACAGCGGCCATTGTCCCTTTCCTGAGCCACCCCCCACATAGAGCCACAGAGTGGCGACACCATACCTAAGATTCCATTAACCTGGTTCACATGGGTTGCCTGACCCTGGCGATTACCAAAGGCTCTTCCCTATTCAACTTTTGGGTACACTTTTCTACAATAGGCCATGCTACTAAGACAAGGAGTCAAAGCAGCTCTACCTAATACATAGAAACAAACACAGGGAGGCTGCCAAAATGAGCAGACAAAGGAATAATGACCAAATGAAAAAACAGACTAAAACTCCAGGAAAAGAACTACACAAAATGGAGATAAGCAATCTATCAGAGACAAAGTTCAAAACACTGGTTATTAGGAAGCTCAAGAAACTCATTAGTGTACGTCAGCAACACAAAAAAGACCCAGGCAGAAATGAGGGTTACACTAAGTGAAAAAAAGAAAAATTTACGGGGAATCAACAGTGGAGTAGATACAGTTGAGAATCAATCAAATGATTTGGAACATAAGAAAACAATCAGGAGAGAAAGAAGAAAAAAGAATTAAAAAAAATGAGGATAGGCTAAGAAGCCTCTGAGACAACTTCAAACGTACCAACATTTGAATCATAGGGGTGCCAGAAGGAGAAGAGAAAGAGCAAGAAATTGAAAACTTATTTGAAAAAAGTAATGAAAGAAAACTTCCCTAATTTGGTGTAGGAAGCAGACATACAAATCCAGGAAGCACAAAGAGTCCCAAACCAGACAGATGCAAAGAGACCCACACCAAGACATCTCATAATTAAAATGCTAAAGGTTAAAGATAGAGAGAGACTCATAAAAGTTGCAAGAGAAAAGCACAGAGTTACCTACAAAGGAACTACCATAAAACAGTCAACTGATTTTTCAAAAGAAACTTTGCAGGCAAGAAGGGACTGGCAAGAAGTATTCAAAGTGATGAAAAGCAAAAACCCATAACCTAGATTACTCTGTCCAGCAAAGCTGTCATTTAGAATGGAGGGCAGATAAAGTGCTTCCCAGACAAGGTAAAGCTGAAGGAGTATATCATCGCCAAGCCATTATTGCATAAACTGTTAAAGGGACTTACTTAAGAAAGAAAAAGATCAAAACTATGAACATTAAAATGGCAATAAGGTCACAACTATCAACAACTGAATCTGAAAAACACACTAAGCAAAACAGAAACAGAATCATAGATACGAAGATCATTTTGGAGGGTTATCAGTAGGGAGGGGGAATGGGGAGAATGAAGGAAAGGGTTCAGGGATTAAGAAGTATGAATTGTAGTTACAGAATGGGCAGGGGGATGTTAAGAACAGTATAGGAAATGGGGTAGTCAAAAAACTTATATGCAAGAACCATGGACATGAATTAAGAGGGGGATTGCTATAGGGAATTGGTGGTACCAGGTGCAAAGGGGGAAAAACTGGGACAACTGTAATAGCATAATCAACAAACTATTTTTAAAAATTAAAAAAAAAGTCAATAGGAAAATGACTGCAAAAATTAATATCTAATATCATGAATTGGGTAAATTCGGAAGAGTATAAAATTCTCCTGACACAGCTCTTTTTCAATACTTTATCATTTAAGCAAAGCTTTTACCTCCCTAAAAACAAATTAATCAAAACAGGCTACATGTCACCAGTTAAGAAGGAAGACAAGCTCCACCCTACAAACTCACAGAGTTCAGTAAAAAGAATGTAAGGAATCTAATGAAATCAAAACAAAGGAATTGATAAAGTAAACAACACAGACTTCTTGAATTATCTTCAGATTCTGGCTTATAAATTACCTACCTAAATAACCTGTCTGAGATTATGAACACACACACACACACACACACACACACACACACACACACACACACACCACCCCCCTCCCCACCCCCCAGTTAATGTTCTCTCCTATTTCATAGTTTGGGATTATACAGAGTAAACATAACATATACTTTCCCTTAACTGTTCTCTCAAATAGGTTATTTGTTTTCTCAGTCAACAAGTTATTAAATTGCTATGTTGAGTTCCTTTAGGTGGGGAGAAGATAAACTAACCTTTTTTATTTATAACTATATTACTTCTGAAAAGAATGAGAAGAAAAGAAAAATTTCAGAAAAGTTAAATAAACATATGCCTCCTTTCATTTTTAAAACTAGACTCAAAAAGTTCCAAACCATTTACAATAACTAGTAATTTATTTTTTTAGTATGACTCAGCCATAAATAAAGTTAAGTTTTGGATATTCTGAATCTGTAAGAACAATAAACATTTCTGTTAGCAGTATCCGGCAAAATTAGAAATTTGCATCTAGATCTGAGAAGACAGATCCAACACATCTAAGTATCACAGAAGTGACATAAAGCCATAAAACTCACCTGTACTCTAATTACCCTCTTTAGCATTATTGTACACATTTATTATCTGGGTGTCCTGTGCTTCTTTTTTTAAGACTAATCTAGACTTGCAATTTAGTATTTTAATAAATATATACGTACACACACACACACACTCTCTGCTTTCTTAGCAATAGTTCAAATTAGAAGTCACAGCTCCCTCCTTTCTTCACAGCTGCGGCTCCTATGAACACAGTACATGGTCATTGAATTAATGAATTAACCAGTAGCTAAATGGTCAAGTTATACGATGATCCAGTGTCAGAGCCAGGAGATCTATGTATTTCTGACTGCCCAAGTTTCCACAAAGACATAATAATATTAATCCATCTAAGTTATCAAAGAAGCGAAACAGGATAGACCCCTCAGGAACAAACTGAACAGTGAAATACTCTAAAAATTGTACATATGAAAATTAATGTAAGGAATCCTCAAAAACTCACGGCTTGTGTTTCAACGGCTTGTTTTTCTATGGGATGGGTAACAACACATTCAGAGGAAAGTTGGACTAAATAAATTATTAAACCGTAAGACTATAAAAATCACACAGAGTAAAACAATGCAAATCATGTTCTAAAAAACTGAAATACAGTATTCATGCTAGTTCTATTTTAATATATTTAATGCTCAGGAAACATGAAAAAGTCACAGTCCAGTAAAGTCAGCAGTTACCTCACTTATAAGATGGGAATCGAAGATGTAAGGCCTAAGGAATTTACTGCGGAAGAGGTGCTGCCTGCGGGGCGGGGGCATCAAAGAGGCTTCAGTGTGGTAGCCTAGGACAGATGTTTTCACCATTGAGAGGCTCTCTGTCTGTAAACAGTGGACTGAAGCACTAGCAGAAGCACAAACTTGGGCTCTTGTTGGAAGTTTTTCCACTGCTTAAAATTTACCTATTAGTAGTAGCAGAATGACTAAGAAAATTTAGTTGCTAATTTTTTAAATTAAAATCTAAGCAACCAATTATTTGCACTACTTGCATCTATTGAACCAAAAATCTTATTAAGGAAATAAGCAATGTACTAATTTCCTTTTGAAAAATCAGGGATACTAACATATTTAAAGCCATGACTCAAGAACAGCCAAAAAAGGCAAAAACAATGAAAACATTACCAAAAACAAAACAAAAAAGCCACTGTTTAAATAAATCCAATACTCACATTTGCAGAGAGGATGATCAAAGTCAAGAAAATAAAATTATGACTTAATTTTAAATACACAATGTGATTCATATGCTCTTTGTGACTCCTGGTACCACCAGGGCCAGACATTCAGCAACACATGGAACGAAGTAGAAAAACCCCCCACACATAACAAATATTCTTTTCTTTCTATAGTTATTTATTAAATCTTGGCAAATCAATTGATTTTTCTACATCAAGCCATTAGTTATGCCTTTTATTTAAATACATCACTCAAGAACTAAATAACAAGTAAAAGCAAAAGTTGTCACCTCACCTCCCAGGTCACAGAGTGATTCCTTCACAGGTAACAGGGAGAGGCAAAGCACGCAGATGCGGAATCACTCAGTACTAGTACCGTCTGCACACCACGACGTTTTACACGGTGGGCAATCGGTTCAGTATGAGAAGTAGCACAACTCTGAAATAGTACTTTTGATTTTTTTACCCTGAAAAAATTCAAATAGTGCTGATCAGTGTTAGACAATTTATTAAATTAGGCAAAGAAATTATCACTATTATCTGTAACAATTCCCTCTCACCACCACTATAAGAAAACATGGAGTAGCTGAGGTTAACAGATCTGTTCAAGAGTGAAGCTATAAAACAAGGGAAAGCATGCAGATCTCTCATCTTCCCCCCTCCAACACCCAGCCTCACCTGGCATCCACCACAGGACTCAGTCACGCAGGCCCTTATTATCCTCCCCGACCCGGATTTATCACAAGGGAACTATAAGCAGCAGGAAAATAAAGAGGCCACTTTACATCTGCGTAAGCAAAATCAAGGAGTGGAGATTGTCCTAACTTTTTAGCAAAGCTAATTCTTCTGGGGATCGTATGAAAGTCACCTTAAGAACTCACCTTCTGGGCCCTCCACTGAGCAGTAGGCTCAATTTTCCGAGAGGAGAAGCCTCACAGAACCACACCCCTTGGGTCCCCTGCCCAATCACGCGGGGCACCCATAAGGTTCCTCCCAGTTCTGTGATTCTACTGTCATTAAGTTTTCTTTTTAATTTAAAAAACAGGCAACTGAAAATCACACTTTAAGAATGTAAACACTTTTTTAAGGAAAATAAGGGGAAAAAGTCCTATAATTATTTTGTAGGAAGAATAAACATCTGTGGATGTTCCACACATTTCTATGTGAGTGATAGGAAGGAACTGTCTTTGAATAATTTATCAGGGCATAAATTCACTGTAAAGACACTAAAGTCAAATTAAATAAAACCAGCAAGAGACAAAACAATGTCCTAGTTTTGTGCACTGGGAGATGAGGCTTCACTGAGCACTAATTATACCTGGTTGGAAAGGAACTGGGTATGTTCCATTTTAAAAAGTTGTTATTTATTTTTTTACTAAAGCAAGAACATTATAAAGAACAAAGCATTTTGAATTATTTTCCTAAATTAATCTTGGGAATTAAAGAAGGTTATGCAAGTAATTTTTTTCCTAATGTGTCTTGGGTAACAATGATGAAGGTAGAGGTTGAAGATAACGTTTAAAAGCCAAATATCTAGTTCCATAGTTCTGGGCTTCCCAACATGCCTCAGAAGCTGGGGTTCTAAACCCAAAGTAAAAGGAAACATAAGTAAGTATGCAGCATCTGGGGTGCTCAGAGTTGAGAATGTAAAGTGACTTCAGGAAACTGTCAAAACCACATATTTTAGTTTTTTATCTTTGTGGTCTTCACCGCATCTTTCTCATTTGTAGTCGGTTCTATTTCCAAAGGAACTGAGGATGTTTTTTCCTTTGAGACTTTGCTCTTGAAGCAAAGCTTCACTCTAATAAAAACAGTGGTATAAAACATGAAAACATTATTCACAAGGCCAACTATTTTATTATAGTGACATTAGTTCATCCAAAGCACATATGCCATGGACACTCTGTTTAGAGACAATCACAGCTCGATATAACTGATAGTGAAGGCATGTAGTAGGGTAGAAAGACAATACGCCAAGGGAGAGGTGAGACTGTAAGAATGTTATGTGGTCACAAGCTCGGTCCAAGAATTGAGCTGGACTTGGCTTAACACATATCTGCTTTTCTCTCTTTATTTTTTAAAGAAACTTTTAAGTTGTTTCACACTCAGTCTGGCTGCAGCACTGTTTTTCCTTTGGTCTCTGATTCTTGGGAAACAACACGTGTTGTGGTGACCTTTAGGGGCAGCTCTTGATTTCAGGACCCAGCCATGCCTCTGAAGCTCATTCCCCTGCATCTCTTAAGCATCTCATGAATGCGCGCATGCACGGGGCACCCCCTCCGAATGTACAGGGGCCCTCAGAGGTAGGCATGGAGGTCCACCAATCATACAAGGGCTGCCTGTGCGATGAAATCTATTTGCTTTTGAAAACAATTACCTAAATTTATAGTGCTAAGCTTGTTATTTCAATGTTAATCTGATTGCTAGTCATAAACACCTAATAAAAAAACAAGAAAATTATTAATGAAATACAACTTGGTAATAAAATGTTTACAAACGGGATGAAGATTTGACAAAAGATAAAATGGAATCTTGATAGTAAAAAGTTATAAACTTACACATTTAACATTTTTTAAAAAATAAGTGTTCATTATATGAGGGAAAAACACCAGAAAAGTTTCAAAAGATAAAAATATAAAGCTATCTATAACCTCATCCTTCATTTTAGCTTCTTACCTCAGCCTAAATCCTTCCAAGAGCAACCTAGTTCATTTTCTCTTTCATTCATTCATTCACTCATTTTCTCTCTCTTAATATATTGGGCTGGCCAAAAAGTCCATTACCTTTTTCTGTAAAATAAAAGACACATTCTTAATTTTCACCCATAACTTTAATTTGGATATTTTGAGTATGTCGGCTATCTCCTGCTCTTGGCTTCTAGTGGGTAGAGGCCAGGGGTGCTGCTCAACATCTTCCAATGCGTAAGACAGCCCCACAGCAGAGAGTTAGTTGGCCAAAATGTCAACAGTGCCAAGAAACTTCGCAAACCACTTTTGACACTTTCCATCAGTCACAGCACCTCCTCCACACACCTGCACAAATCTTTTTTCTGCATTTCAGTTGCATTTTTACCTTTCTTGAAATAATAAAACATAATATACCAAAAATATTGCGTATTTTCTTCCATTTTCACTATTAAAATGGCTGCACAAAAATTCGCCAATTTGATAAATTGTTTTTTAAATGTATGCTGATATAACAGCTGTCACAATACAATCTAACAAAACTGTTTTGAATGAGGTTAAAGATAAGCACTATCAGAGCCATCGTATGGAAGAAACATAAAGGACTTTTTGGCCAACCCGATATATCTGGGCTTCTCTTGCTTAAACCCATGAATGTTTCTCACTAACTTTAAGATAAAGTCCATGTTCCTATCACTGCCCACCTCACTTCAGCGCCTTCCTGGACTACACTTCCCCTTTGTGAGGTAGCCATATCTCCTTGCTCCTGTGTGTACTGTTTTCTTTGCTCAGAGCATCTTCCTCCTTGGCACTCACTTCACCAGGCTCAGCCCCAGGCATCCTGCTCGCCTCGGCTCGATGAGGTGGTGATGGGGAGGGAGCACCAGCGGAAGCCAAGAGCTTGCTCTGCCAGGCACATATGGTATCATTATCATGCCCATTTTACAAATGAGAATGTAGAAGTTTTGAAAGGATAACTAACTCGATACGGCTAGTACAACATGGAGCTGGGATGTGAACTGAGTCTGACTGCTGTCCTTGCTCTTAATCTTGACCTGGGGTGACAAACCAGCACCAACCAGGCAGGCACCAGGCAGGTTGCACATTAAATGCAAAGAGAACTTTTCACCACTGCCAAGAAATATGCTTTAAAAAAAAACACATGGCCTTTTAAGTTTATTTCTTTCTATGAAAATGGAGAATATTCACTTTCACCTTATCTCCATCATAAAAAACCAACAGCCCTTTCATGTTATTAATTTTCCCTCCAAAATAAAAATTGGAAAATTATATTAATGTAATTTTTCTAAAGAAACAGTTTATATTCTGGAAAATTTCAATGTGCTTTAGTATAAAAGCATGAGATAATACCTTACTAAATGTGAAGAAAGAATAAAGTCAAAAAATATAAAAGAATATGGAAAAGCTCACTACTCTTGTCGTTTATATTGTAAAAACCAAAACTGCTATAAACAATTTGTGGTTTTTCTATTGCAATTTGAAAGATCTCAAGTTTTGCTTAGCGCTTCAATATTTACAGGAGTAGATACCAAATTCTTTTGCTCAAAGGAGGTCCAATGTATTCTATAACGGCCTGAGATCCGAACCACACAGTTTTGGTAAAATTTGATCACCAAGTATTACAGACTATTTGGCATTAAACTGAGTTCTTTGGCAACATTTAAACTGCTCTTAATTTTTATGTTAAAGAAAAGTAAAATTTCAAGGATGGCTGAAGTATCTGATACATTTAGTTCTTAACACATGTCTGCTTTAAAACAAGATCACACACAGAAATTGCTCTCTGTAGTACATCTACGGGTAAGAAGCTCTGTTAACTGATTATGTAATGTTTTAGTTTGGGTAGTAAAAGATTCCAGATGTTTACTCTAACAGCTTTTGTAGGCACACGGGATTAATGTTATACACATAGTAACTGGTTCTGGAACAGGGCCAATGTGTGTACATATGCTGTTTAATTATGTTGGCACCCCAGGCATTTCAAATATCAACACAATTTCTCAGCTGATATTCCCATTCCGAATTCTGTTTTAAATAATTATAGAGGGGTAAAGAGATGGGGCATTGCCCGTGCTAATGAAATCTATCTAGTTCTTTTTACCTTTAACAGATTTGGAGGTCTTATGGATCAAAATTCTCTTACAGTCTACATTGCAGGTAAACACAAACTGCCAGGAAATATTTTCTTCAAAATTCTTTGCTGAACACCAGTGTATTAATTTCCGTATCCTTTTAAAAAAAATTATTATTCTCCTTTCTAAAAATTCATCTGCCCCAAGGGAACCTTTGACTCAGCCATGAAAGCTTCCCGTGAGTCCTAGAACTTGACTTTGAAATATACTTCTCTACACAAACAGTGCTAGAAGTTTGTTTTGAATGAACATTCCGAAGTTCCTCACCTAGATAAGTCTGAAAAACCTGCTGTGAATCTAAAAGCATACAGACACCGGAGAATTGTTTTATATTAATGACTCAAATTTCTCCCCCTTCCGCTCAAAAAAAAAAAAAAATATGAAACAATAACATAATAATATTTTCACAGCTTTTCCAAAAGACGTTTACAAGTTTTATATGTAAAAATAAGTGAGTAAATCTTTGCAAAAATGGATGAGTTGGACTAGCAACGTGATACAAACTACCTTAGAGGAAGGATCTTTTCAGTGAAGCAAGCTCAATGGAAAAATTCCTAATCCAGAAGTTTTCCAGACATAAACTTTCCAAGCTTCCCAAGATCATATGTTAGTCAGTAGGCCTGCTGGGGT